ATTGGCCAAATCTTCGATAGAGAAATTTGAAGTTGTCATTTTTTTTTAAATAACAATAAAAATAAAAATCTTGGTTTTGTCGTGGTTTTTAGTTTTTTTTTTTTTTTTGTTTTAATCCGACTTAAAATTTTTTATCCTTAAAATTTTTGTTCTTATCCTTTAAATATTGTTTTTTGTTCGGTTTTTTTTTTTTATTTTTTTATTTTTTTTTATTTTTTTTTTTAGAATATATTTTAATTTATTCGAGTAAATAAAATATATAATATAATATAAATAAAATAAAATAAAATAAAGTAATAGAATAAAATAAAATAAAATGAAAAGCTTATAACAAAACGAAATGTGAAGTGATTTGATTCCCGCTATTTATATAACAAATTAAATTAAAAGTGCATTAATAAAAAAAACTTTTGAAACACAAACAACATTTTTTCCAATCCAAACTTTGAATGATAGCATACATCTGATAAAGGTTAGACGTAATATATTTTGTGTCGGAGTTTACGGATTATCTGATATATTACAATAATGTATCTTTGTTGACGATCGAAGTTTGAGCACACATAAACATATGTATTATTATTAGTTTTCCCGTCCCAATAATTAGTTTTTCCCCGTCCCAACAACCAATTACAGGGGTTACCCAATTGATTGTTTAGTGTTAGATAGTTAATAAATAATTCTGGTCGTTTAATTAAGATACAAAGTGAAATATTAATGATATTTTATTGACCGACTTTATTAATTGTGCATACTTTTGTGCATTTTTTATTGTAACTATATGATCTAGTATATTTGAGGGAAGAAGAACAAGTAAAATTTCACTGATAATGTCTGATGGTGTACGAGATCGCACAAAATGCGATGCGATTGATCATCAAAAATTAAAATATGTTAAAGAATATCCTATTCTTGGCCCTATAAGAATTCCTTTCTGGAATTAAATTTATAATATCTCCCAAAAATTATTGAAAATTATATGGAAAATTATTGAAAATTCCGGAAAATTATTGAATTAACCGTTGAATAATTTCATCTGGAAACATTTTCTCTCCGAATTAAACAATCAATTCTCTTCAACAACGCATACAATAATACAATATATAATACAATAATAAAATAATGCAATAATACAATAATACAGTATTACTATTAATGCATATATGAAAGACAAATCAGTTGTTAATAATATTTTCAACTGATGTTTTAACGTCTCATCTAGACGATTATTTGTCGGAATGGGTTCAGAAGGTCACTTATCTATCTTTGGCGTGTCAAGGAGGTGTTTATAGAAATCCGTAGTTCACATACCTTCTAAAAATATCAATAATCTAGCCCATTCCGTTTGTCTGATCTAGGAGATAATTGAGATAATTGTAACTTGATTAATAATTGTTTTTTTTTTTTGAGATAATTAACTGAGCCACATTCGGTTTCTCGAAGACACCGTATCAAAATAACAAGTTAATTTCTGGATTTCCCCGAATTTTCCCTCGGCACCCCAAAGTTCGCAACAAAGAAGTTGAAAAAAATTACCGCCGCAAAAATCCAGCGAACATGATAAACTGCTGATAACCCCTTACATAAAATCGCGTGTCCTATCAGATTCTTTAAAAATCGTACCGCAAGTATATGCATATGTATATCACTTTTTTCTGATGGTTATTAAATTTTTTCCTCAGTGGCGCAAAAGAGTATAGCGTCATCATAACCAAATTGCTTTTTATCCTTGATTACTGATTACTAATTAGTTCCCCCACAAAATTACTTCAAGTCCAATTCCCGTCTTTGAGTATGACGCAGATTAACGATCTACGTAATAGATACAAAGTCCGTAGTATTTGTATTATCTCAATTTGGATTCTTTACCAAAATAAAAAAACTTCTTTAATACTCTAATAATATTCTAACAATATTCTAACAATATTCTAACAATATTCTGACAATATTCTGAATATTCAAATAAGATTCAATGCATTCAAGAATCTTTCTTCTTACCCATCTTTGAACAAAGAATAATTCCTTTTTTCTCGTGTCAATAAAACCAGTTTTCTTCTTTTTTTCTTTCTCTTACGTGCCTAATATAGATAATCTTTTAAAAAATCTAATTATATAATTATAAATAAAAAAAAATTGGGCTGTCTTTCACGGCATACTGCGATATTGTCACAAGTGTGCAAAGATAATAAACTTAATGAACACAGTGATCACATTCAATTATTCTGGATTGTGATAATTGTAATCTTAAAAAACAGCTTATCGTTAAGTGGTTTTAATTGATTCGTTTTTTTTATAGGGAATTAAAAATTTACTATATACTACCATAAGCCCTTTTTTTTAAAGTACATTATGACGGTTGTGATAGATTAAAAAAAAGGAAATGTTTAATTGCCACGTACCATGACCATTGAAAATTCAATTTTATACAAGTGTTTTATGTACTATGGTACGTGACAATTAAACTACCTCCTTTTTTAACCCTAGTTAGTCCCATCACGTAAGTACGCACGTACGCAGTAAAAAACTCAAAATATATATTCTTTAATACTGTAACGTTATATGTAATGGTATTACAATTTACAATAACGGTAATATATACCGTACAATAGAATACCTTATAATATAAATGATAATGATAGGTTTGACAGGTGGATCCCATGCTATCGCGACTGCCCAAATTTATCCCTGTTTTATCTTATTTTGATTCACAATTACTATACATATTTGGAACTATTGCTATGTTAATTTTCACAAATTTCAATAAAAAATTTTTTTATCTTTAATCTTGAGAAATTCAAGGTTCTGAATTTATCAAAGGAATCATATACGTAAAGGGGTAAAGTCGGCCAAACAAAAAAAAAAAAATGTGCGAAAAATACGGCGTAAACCAAAATTTTCCGCTACTAATTCCCGAATAGATATAAATCTCATATGAGAATCATATGTCAGAAATTTATTTTGATTCGATATCGCTAATCTCCTTAATTCTAAATTTAGTTCAATAAATCAAGTCTTGGTCTCGCTTGTTAAGTCCAAGGCTAAATTTTTTTAAAAAAGTTTTTATTTTACATCATCAATACGTTGATTTGTTCAAGGATCATTATATAAAAAAAAATATATTCGAAGGGAAATATTCAACCGAACTTTCAATGGAATACTCAATGAAAATATTCAAGGGAATATTCAAGGGAATATTCAAGAAAGGCAAAGTTCAAATGAACTTTCAATAACTTTTAATGGATTATTCAATGAAAATATTCAAGGGAATATTCAAGAAAGGCAAAGTTCAAGTGAAACATCTAAGAATTATTCAAGGCAATGCTCAAAGGAAAAGGCGGCAATCATAAAGTCACTTTATTCTGAAAATGTGGTAATGAAATTAGACGGACTATTCCTAAAGAAGGATATTTGAAAGCGTCTGAAATATCTCAGATCAAATGGTATCAACCTACGTATATCAACAAAGCTCCCTATTCGCTTCTGTCCTTTGGCCCTGATCGCCATCTTCATATGGCTAATTACGAAAACGTTGTATAATCTTGAGAGCTATTATCCCTGCGTATAATCGGTGCCACATAATAAGAATTGCCTCTTCATTTTGTATCTCAGGGCTCTTTTCCACTGATTAATCCAAGGCAAGACTCAAGTCTTTTCAAGTATTATCAATTACGAATCTTCGCATCCCTTATTTCGAAGACAATAAAGATTGGGGCTTTTAGTCACTCTCATTACTTTGCATAACATTGACAACACTGTTTCATTTAAAAGTCTTGTTCACGGATAATGATAAATCTCACGATTGCCTTAAAATGTATTAGATTCGTTTTCCACTCATTAGCCAATAATTTAAAATCTGTGCGTCGTATAAAATCATTGGTGGTATTAAAATTGGTAAGTACATAATCAAATTTTTTAATTCTCATCAGTTTAAAATTTTATCGAGATGATCTTACTTGTAATAGAATTCTCTCCAAATTTATTACTATTGAACCACACTTTAACCAAGAATATAAAATCAAAAAGCATGTTGTAAACTTGCTTTAAGACCTTCAATTCAGCTATCTATACATATAATTAATATTTAATTTTTGGTTACCATCTTTTTTTTTTTTTGCGTAATATTTGTTTTTGCTTCTAACTAGTGATATTTTTAAAAAATTATAAATCTTTTATACAATTTGTTATTATTAAATTTGTTGTACATATATAGCTTGTATACAAATTATATATGTTTATTAAGTTTTAACTATATATTTTTAACTATATATCAGTATATTTTCGAAAATCACACCACTGGTGTTTAACGATACTCTTTCAAAATTATCTATAGCCAAAAATTTTATCTAAAAAACTAACTTTATGTTCTAGCAAAAAAAAAATATTATGTTTACTTATTTTGTATTACGTATACTGGTGTTGAACATCACCGTGTAATTTAGATTATTTGATATTTTATATATAAAAAATATATTTTATAATATATTTTATTAAAAATTTATTACAAAGCTTTAAATAAGGGGAATTTACAAATAAGGGCCCAAAAACGAAAATAATTACAAATAAGGGCCCAAAATGAAAATAATTACAG